GGATATAGCTCGCTAGCAGCCTCGCACCGAGGACCTATCCACGTCATCATTTACCCAGAATGCTTTGTGTGTGAATAAAATGGCTCCATCCGTTTTATATACTTTTAAACTTTTGGTTTAAAAATGATAAAAACTGAACATTCTACATTATTTTTACAGTCTTTATTTTACAGTTAAAATATGTTTATCAAATAAAGTCTAATGTTACAACTAATCCTGGATCCCTTTAAATGTTGAAATTTACATTTAAGAATTTTAGAATGGAATGCAGCCTTTGCTGTTGGCGCACGACTTTTGGCATCCTGAAATGACCACTAATGCTAACGCTGCTGCAGATGGCATTTAAAGTTTTAAATTTAAAAGGTGTTCAGATCTGTATGTGAATGGATAGTCGGGCAGTTTGAAGTTCAACTCACTGGCCACAAACTGCACGTTTGCAACATTTGCAGTTGCTCCTGTTTCTGGATGTCGTCCTAACGAGCCACACAAACTCCAAAGTCCGTGTTCCACTGTGAGATGCTTAAAAATGAACTTCAACAATTAAGGTATAACTTTAAAATTTAGATTTAACATTTAGACATTAATTTTAACATTTAATTCAGAAAAATGTAAAAACGCAAAACAAAAATGGCCCAAATAAACAAACAAACCTTGCATTGTTATAAACAAAGTTCAGTGTTGAGGTTTGCATGATTTTCTTAATAAAATCCACTGAATGTGTCGCTCCCATCCCTCCAGTCAAGCCCACCAAGCCCTACAGCCGTGGTTCAGTGGTGATGGTGGATGAGATGATGAATGCCAGCCCTTCAAAGTTCAGGTTTCCAGAAGCGGGCCTCAGAGTCATGGTCACCAGCCACTTTGGACCCAAAACCCGTCTGCGCATGGCCAGTCGGCTCATCATCACAGAGGTAAAGCAGCCGTTCATGCTTTGGTTATTCATTTGAGTTTACAGCTTTTTTATTATATATATATATATATATAATTTATTTATTTAAATTTTTTTGTGAGCTAATAATCCTCATCCTGTCCATGCTCGGTGCTGTTTGTGTTTCCGACTCCAGAAGTGATAAATCGTTGTAATGGCGTGTCCTGCTCATGTGCTCTTTGACTTAGTTTGTTTTTTTCTGAAAGCGCCAGAAGTTGGTGCAGGCGTCCAACGGTGTGGAGACACAAGTGACTGACGGGAAGCTTGAGATAGAGAACGGAAACGTGCCGGAGGACAAACCCACCAAGGCAGAGGAAAGTGACTCCATCTCTCCTTTTCACATCCCAAGTATGTGTTTTATTTCATTTATTTTTCTGCATTTACTCAATGAATGTGTCGTTTGCATGGATGGATATTTGGGTGCAAAGCTTGGATCTGTTATTTCAGAACCTGCTTTACATCCCTCCATACTGATTTTAAAAATCTGAACTGTTACTGAAATGAGCGACGAGCAGTTATTGATTAATTCTCTCACACGAGTCGGTCTCAAACATGGATTAATGATCATCTCTGGCAGCTTTTTTTCTTTTGATTGAAATGGGTAAACATTAGAGGTGCAACAATCCATGTATCTGTATCGACCCGTTCAATACAGTGCTCCGGGTTTAATACGTATGGAACAATACAGAGTTTTAACATTTATTTTATCAACTTGTCTTCTGAAGATGCTCTGTGTTGAAGGATCAGTGGATCTGTGTTCGACTACTCCACCTAGGCTGCATTGTGGAGCACAGATCCACTGAGAAACAATGTTTCAGCAACATACAGCAGGTAAAATAAGTATTGAACATGTCACCATTTATCTCAGTAAATATATTACTAGAGGTGCTAATGACATGAAATTTTCACCAGATGTTGGTAACAACCCAAGTGATCCATACATACAAAGAAAT